CATTTTTAAATAACAGCTTGCAAACTAGTAATTTTCTCTGTCTTTTTATGGTGTGGTAGAGGTAAAGTTTGGCAAATTGTCAAAACTACAGGAAAAACCAATAAGACTGAAAACTGGGGGGCGGGGAGTGAAGAAAATTAATTGTGCCATCGAGAAACATGTTTTTTGTATATAATCAATAGGCTAACAAAAAAAAAACAAAAAACGGGGCAGTTATTTTGCATTTATTTGTTGGGATTTGACTTAACCAAGTACATATAACATTATGTAATAATAACAATAGCATGAGGGGTTTATAGAAGACTAAAGTAAAGCTTCAAATAAAATGAAACTGGAGAATAAACACGTTTCCATTTACATTTCAACTTAAACTAACACTGGTATTAGGAAAATAACAGATACATGGTAGTGGCAGCGTGGTGATCTGGGTTTGGTTTGTAGCTTCAGAACCTGGACAACTTGCTGTAATTAATGGAGTCATAAATTCTTCTCTCTACTAATAAAAATACTGGAAAAAATGACTTTTTTTTAATACAATTGTGCAGAAAATATTAGCTTGTATTTCACCCATGTTTTGTTGTTTCATTGCTTTATTATACATTGTATACATCACTGACATTATTTGTTACATGAAAAGATTTTCCGCAGGAGTTTAGCTAACTACCACGGGTGTGGAAGTGCTGTGGTAATAAACCTGGAGCTGACGTGAGAAGAGCCATAAATTTGTGATCTCCAATAAGCTATTCACGTAAAAAAAAAAAAAAAAGATGCTAAAGTGTTGGTAGCAAAAAGATAAAAGTTCTCCCTCGGGGATAAACAAAACTTCACTTCAATCTTGTGTGACAGCGTTTGTACTTCTTCAGTTAGCCTGTCAGATCCTGATGGATCTCAAACATTAGCAGATGTTTTGGTTGGAATGCCAAGATATCCTGCCAACACACCTCTGCATGATAGGAGGCCTGTAATTAATCTGTGTCTCCTTATAAAACCAAAACAAAACTAAAAAAACAATGAGGGTGATTGCTTAAAGATGAATCAGAAAACAATTGACCAATAAATTGTGATCCAGAAGATGGATGTTGACCGTATCGTCGACAATCGCACGTCAATCAATGTTCTCCGACTTTAAGACGGAGGGCGATAATTCAGCAGAAGCAAAAGTAACTAGAAGGCACAAGCTTTCTAAGGGTCATGTGATTTAACCATCCTAAACCTGTGCATATCTTACGAAGGAGCAATCGACACGCTATGATTTGAGTTTTTGTAAATGACTGATCCCTCTACAGACCATCTTTAAAGCTGCAGTGTGTAACTTTTATGAACTTTCTTGTTTTTTTTTACATATTCGCTGAAGCTGTCAATATGTCATGAGACAATCTGTGACAACATTTAGCTCCTCTTCCTTCTCCTTCAGTGTTTCCATTACCAACGAGAACCAACCAATCAGAGCCAGGAGGCGGGTCTTATGGCTATCAATCACAATCGTGTGTGTGTGGCCATGTTATGCTGCAGCTAGCGTAGCATGTTGTGAATGCCAAGGCTACTAGGCAAATAAACCCTTTCCCTGTGACGGTGAGTTGTTTCTCTGCCATTAGCACATTCAGCAGCGAGTACATGAAGTTGATTGACAGCGGTAAGACCTTCTTCCTGGCTCTGATTGGTTGTTGTTGGCCAGGATTTCTTCACACACCGATAGCAGCTCAGGGAAGAGGTGGAGGAGACTGATATTTTCACAGATTATCTCTCTCATAAACTGTCACTGCATGGTGAAAGTTTAAACAAACATGTAAGGAGCGTATTCTTTATAAAAGTTACACACTGCAGCTTTAATCCGAATCAATAACACTGAGCTGTTGTTGACTCAGGACCTGTGTGGCATAGAGCCCTTTAACTCCGTCCCACCTGCGGACTTCAGTGGCGTTAACAGCCATGATTAAGAACACACCTACCTTCTCCATGGTCCAACTACAAAAGTAAAACTGAAAAGAGACAAATAAGCACCTCAGCCCTGACGGGACTCCCAACAATAACAGTTAAAGAATGTAATGTAGTTGCGGCCGTGTCATTTAGGCCCAACAGGAGGCCTGAGCAGAGCCAGCAAGTGTTACCTGATCATTTACCTATAGATACCTGAGCGTAATGAGGCGCTCGTCACTATGTTATTTAGCTAAAATGGTGTACAGTAGTCGGGAAGTAAGTGTAGGCTTCTGTGTCAGACAGTAATTGTTGTTTAGATCCGAGCTAAAGGGGGGGAGCGAGCAACAGTGTGAAGCTTACACTTAGTCTGGTTTTAGTCTGGTTTTAGGGTAAAGACAGAAGTCTCGCGTTTCCAGTGATATCGAGACATCGCTACTTTTAAGTTAGGAAAGGGGGGGGAGCAGTTTGCAAAGGCCAGACACGTTAATATGGAGACCAAGGAAAGGAATGTCTTTGTGGATGGATTTGCTGCTTCCCAAATAGGTAGAAGGCAGGAAAGAGGGAATTAAAGGAAAAACTTATTTTAAAAATCACATGTTCAGGAATTTAGCTCAGTACTACGTAGAGTTAAGTCCAAAATTATTGATACACCCAAAGGTTATTCTGTTTCACTCAAGACCCAAGAGATCTGTGTCACCAAATGGTAAAAAGACGTTTTTCTGATTTTCTTTACATTTATACTAAAAAAAACACACACAAATCAAAATCATGTGTGCAGCTGTCTATAATGATTTGAAAAGCCTTTCTTGGCTTTCTGCATGTCTCCACTGGTGTCGATGACCTTTCACCTTTCGCAATGAACTCCAAAATATTTGAGGTTGTAAAGTATTCGTGCTTTTAGCCCAATCTTTAACTCCCTCCGCAGATTCCCCATTAAATCCAAGTCAGGACTCTGGCTGGGCTGCTTCAAACTTAATTTGAAGCTTAATATTTGAAACATTTAGTGGACCACTTAATAGTCCACAAGCCATTACGCTACCACACCAGCTGTGTGTTTTGGGTCACTAAACCATCAATCAGGACAAGTTTCTCAGCAGAATCCTGAAGGACATCGTTGAGAATCTTGATGTAGTTCTTTTAATTCGGTTGTCTATCCTGTTGGGCATCGACACGCTGTAAATATGGCTGCATAACTGTGGCCAAACAAATCTATTTTAGTGTCATGTGCCCACCAAACCAAAGAACAATCTCCTCCTCTGTCCAGATGAAAGTTTGCAAAGTTCTTTTTTTCTACCTAGCTCAAGGAAATGGTTTCCTCTTTTGTCCGTTTTCATGGAATCCAGAAGACGCAGGGTCTGTTTGACCGTCTGCCTTGAGATGTTGCCACCGGCAGGAACCGCCGGTGGCCTTCGGGTGAACCCTGGTATCTTTCTTTCACCTCTCGCACCGTCAACCTCGTCAGCGCAGGTGTCACTTTTGACCTCCTACCAAAGCCTGGGAGGTGTGGCCACTGGAACTCAAAGACATTCAGATAAGATCTTACGCCCCTTTCTTGACTTTTCAGCAAGAAACACTTGGAATGGTGCATAGCCTTGAATCTTTCAACCCGCTCACAGTTTCCAATGGGTATGCAATTTGGGTCACGCTCCTGCAAATTAAATTAAATAAAATGGTTCTTCTTTGCTGAAATGTGCTGCACTTATTTTACCATACAAATATATTCTTTCCCGCCGGAAGAAATATGTCGGTAAAGTTAAACGAATATTAAATCAAAATCTGGCCTCACTGTTTCCAAGGATTCAAAAATGTAATTAGTGACAATAAAACCCTTCCCGTTTTCGGTGGAGTGTAAACAAGACTGAGTTAATAATGGGCAGAAAGCTGCTGGAGGGTGATTGCTGAGGCCGAACTCGGTAAGATGCTTTTCTAATCTCTTTTCGATCTCGGAGGAACTTTTGCCTCTATAACTCGCACCGTGACCTGGTGACACACATGTTTGGGAGCTTGTCGATACGTGAGAATTTATATCTTATATTTGAACCAAACCACAAAGCATCCAGAAAATGTTGGCGTCACAGCGAGTTTCAGACGTAAATCAGCAGAGTGGAGCGCTCTGATTGCTGCTCCCGAAAGGACATCAGGGCCGACAGTCGGGAGGTTTGTGCGCATCTTGCAGAGCACGATCCGCCAACGAGGAATCGGCAGAGCTTTGTTTTGATGTTACTGGTGACGGTTTGATGTTAATTGTCTGATGGGATTGACAAGAAAATTAATTCCTTGCCTGCAGCTACACATCCTGATTTGATCCTATTCCCTCTCCTGCAGGAACCCCGTTGTGGCGCACAGAGAGGGATTGTTGAAACATGCATTTTATAGACTAACACAGACCAAACGTTCATGTTTGCAGACAAGATGCAAACCTGATGAAAATGGATAAGAATGTAAATGTGAGCCTGAGGGGGGTTAAGTGGAGATAAAGTACCCCAACTTGCTAAAAACACAATCTAAAAGCACAATCTAAGATTAAAACAAGGCGCTGTGGTTTTGTATTGTTTATAAATTAAATTAATGCCCTTCGGGGGAAACAATTAACCAATTCCTGCCATCTAATATTTCAATAAACCACAAATATTTGTGCATTCAAGCACACAGGTTCAAAAGTCAAAATCTAAAATAGTTATCAGGCAATCTGAAGATGGGGGAGGGGGGTAACATAGTAAAAACTGCAGGAATTTAATGTTAGCCACATAATTTAATTGTTCTGTAATTACCTAGATTAGCTATGACAGAGACGAAATACCATCAACATGAGTAAAAGGCTTCACCACCACAAGATTATTCTTAATATGAGCTTAATTTTACTTTGTTGCATTTATATGTCTGCTGCTCTGATGAAACATCACATTACGCGGCTAATTACAATGTCTGATTTTAAGTCGTGCTCGGCGAATGATTAAAAATGAAAATATTTCAACTTTATACTCTATAAAATGAGGGCAGAGGTTAAGTATTGTTTGTGCTAACGTTATGTTCTCTGTTTTTTGGCACAGAGCTTGATTTCAGCGATCATGCAGCCGACTCACCCTGCTGCCTTTCTCTGGGAAGCACTTGCACCCTCTGCTGCAGTCCAGGCCTGCACACGGTTCATCAGACTTTCCACCCTGTGAGAAGAAGAAGAAGAAAAAAAAAAGGAAATAAATCAATGTAACTTTTCACCAAGGCACTTCCCAAAACTTCACAATTATCTAAATACAGCAATAAAAAAAATCTGTTCACTGATTCACATTTAGAAAGTCTGTATGCTAATTTGATGAGCTAACTTGATTTTAAGATAGAAAGGTGTTTGTTTGTTTTTTTTACAATTTCTTTTATCTGATCTTACTTTTCTCTTCCAGCAATGACAGTAGACTTTTTCTTGTAGTGCTCGACTTTACCAGCTAATCAGTAACTGAATCAAAAAGTGTCTAGAACCAGAGTCAGAATCAGAAGCAAAATCTAAAGTTTATCTGAAGGACATCTTTAAAAAATATTTGTTGCATTTCGGTGTATTTTGATGTCCAGCAGCCCTCAAGACCAAACCCCTAAAGCTCTCCACCATTAAACAACCACTTTTCAGCTAAGCACTTACCACCTTCTCCTTTCTAACAGTGCAGCACATCGTACACATTCAAGTTAGCAAGCTAGCTAGCTAGCAAGCTAGCAGGTCATGTAGGCCTAGTAACTCCAGCTGCAAAATTATTTTGAATAGACAAAAAAGATAATGGTGCCTTCTAACTAAATAATAAGCTAAGAGGTAAAAAGAAGGGATTAATTAAATCAGCTAAAAAATCTTTCCTCTCTTTGTATTTTGACCATTTCTATTGCTAAATTTTGACAATTTCTATTGTATTTTACACTAAATAACAACATGCCAGGGAAACCTGAAAGAATCACAAGAAATATGCCCACAGATGACCAGGGTTTGAGAAGGAAAAGGTTAAAAGATTAAAAACAGGGTTGTTTAGATAAAAGAAGAAAAGGAATGTGACTGAATGACACACTTTTAATATTACAAACAAATAAAAATGCCTGTAAAAGATGTAAAAAAATAATAAAAAAAAATACATGCTCAATTTTAGTGAGTTTCATTATAATCATGCAATGGAATTTTAAATTAACAATAAACAGTTCTGTAAAAACTCAGATAAATCTCAAATTATTCCCACAAAAAGTTGCTTTTGCATTTATATTAGCCTTAAAAGTAAAAGCTAAACTAAAATAATTTATAACTATTGATATTTCAAGCGTAGCGAAAATTTAGAAAGACCTTTTAATAGTCTTATCTACAAAATATGTTTTATAGTTAGTCTAAAACTCAGGTACTTAGGCAAACATTTTTATTTGAATGTAATTTATGGAAAAATATAACAATTCCCAATTATTTCATGATGCAAATCAAAGTACAGTTGCAATCATTTCTCTTTTTGTGACCACTGTTGGAAAATCGAGATGCAGTATTGAGCTGGTTGCAATCTGCTATTTATGCCACTAGAAGGCACTGCAGCCAACATTCAAGACATTAAATTACACATCTATTTGTTACTTGGTCTTATATTGATTGATATATTAGGTAAAAAAAAAAAACAATTTCTCTGAAACCTCTCATTAGATGAAGTGAAGTGACTTCCCATATTAAGTAAGAAGGACCAATGTTCTGATCCACCCTGTTTTTTAAGACAGACTTATTGCCTTCTAAACCCCACATGAACTGCAGATTAGCATTAAGTTCAATGGGTGGCATTCCTCAGATAGCTGTGGAACATCATCCAAAGGTTTCACACCAGAGCACCAAAGAAAGAGCTTTTATAAGCTGCCTTGTGAGAGTGAAATAAGCTTACATACATGAGGCTCTTAAAACTTCAAAAAACCCACATTTGGTGTTTTGGTCCGAGGTTGAAGGGCCAGAAGGAGGGGAAGAGATCTGTCCTTTTGGTCATTTTTGGTATACATGCCTCAACACTTTCATAAATATTTAAAACTTGTCCTATGAGGACAACTTGAACATTTCCTTTCCTGATTTTATAATAATATAAAGGACGGCAGGTTGGTTGTGGTGGGACGACGCATGATGGAGGTCAGGGTGGATGAGGACAGAGCGTGGGGGGCTTATCAGCTCAGTGGTCCTAGTGCCCATAAGCTTAATTAATAAAGGTCAAGCAGCTCTCGTTAGAAATCATCAGCTGGTCGACTGGGTCCTGACAAGGGGCCTGGGAAAGTGTGGCCCTCAATGTGAGGTCCTAAAGAATATCTTTGAAAAATAACGCTGCCACTGGAATCACATTTCTAGTGCAGACAAATAATGATTTATTTTCCTCATCACTTAACAGTTACATAGCAACTTTACTCCAAGTAAACATCAACAGAGGTTTAAACCCAAGTAACTTCATTCTGCAAGAAACTATCTGAAGAACACCTGGTTCAAACGGCTTTTCAGCTGTTATTCATCTAAATTATTCTGTTAGCATCATAACCGGTTTATCTGTGAGAAGAGAAATGAAAAAACAAAAAACAAAAAACAAAAACAGAGAAAGGCCAGCAACACGGCACACAAAAAATGCAGAAATTGAGCAAGAAGGCCTGTAACTTTAACATATTCTGTTATTCTGTAAGTTATTGCGAAAAACGATAATATTGTTGTTTTGAGACCATTTTAAAGTAACATGATGGTAATGGTATAACAATGCAAGTACGCCTCTCAAAGATCAATAAACTTATTTATAGCAAACATTTAACACTGGAACTGGAAAACATTTTAAATATTCTAAACAAACAAATAAAAATAATTATGAAGTCACTGTAAACAGAACTGTCGTTCAAAAAAGGAGCTAGCTGGAACTGGTAGATGATTGATGTCATCCAGTCTCATAGAAAGAGACACAGGAGAAAAACAACCAGCTATACAAATGGAAATGATCGAGCTTGTTTACATTTGTCATGCAGTTAATTGATTTATTCCTTATTGCATTAATCTTAACTTCAGTTCAACCCTCAGACAAGCTGTTGCTACATTAGCGCCACCTGCACTTCTTTATCCTACTTACTTTAACTGAAGTTTCCTTCAGGAATTTAAAGAACTGAAAAGAAAATAAATCGGTCGAGGCCGAAGTCTTTGAATGATAATTGCGACTATTACAACTCCCCCTCCAGCAGACTGGGGCAAAAAAAAAGGGGGGACAAACTCCCTGCAAAGCGAAAGTGAGCTTTGGACAGAGAAGGGAGGGAAAAGGGGAGAGAGGAGGAGAAATGTCATCAGTGGCGGTCTGACTTTCTTCTTTACGATCCCAATTCCCTCTACTTTCGACAAAAATAGGGCAACAGTGAGCAGAGAACAGAAGGAACTACAGTCGAGCAAAAGAGATTAAACCTCTGGGACAAAGACAAGCAGATAAAGATAGCTGCAAAAACAAAGACAGGGTTTGGACGCCCAAATGATTGGATGCTTAGTCACCAAACGCCTATAAAGTACATTTCAGATTTTCCTATTCGTTTCAAAGCCTATTTTCTGACTCATCGATCGTCCAATCAGAGCAAGTCCATTCACATCAGGGGGGGTTTTTGGTTTGATCCAAAACCCTTTGTTGTGGGACGTAATCCGGCCTCCACCTGAGAAGGGTGGAGATGCACTGATCCGCATTCAGTTCCCTCCTGTCCACACCCGCAGCTGAAACTGATGCATTGTATCGGGAAACCGATGCTAAACCAGCACCCGAGGGAAGACATTTGCTCCCGCTGCTAAGAGAGAGAAATACGAGGCAGACTTCAACAACTCAAGTCCTGAAATCTTTTCTTGTTTTAACAATAACTTCCTTCTTGCTGCCATTTCGTGAATATGATTGATGACTACTGATGTGTGAAATGTGTGACAGTTTCCCTGTAGGCAGATTCTCCTGCTGTATTCCTTGATCTTCAGGATGCTGTTCGTTCTCTAATGCTCTCTAATAAAATATCTGACCTTCAGATATCACTTCTAAACTCAATTGCTTACATTGGATTTTATGGAAGGCTATCAGTTTAGATATTCCTTGTTCAGTCGCAAAACCGCCAACGAAAAACATTGAAGTTTTTTTGCAAGGTACCGTAAGAGGCCAAAAGCAAAAATCCAATCATACTTTGCATACATGTCCACATGCAAAACGCGAATCAACACGCTGGTTAACGAAGGCTCACGTGGATTCCTCCGTCTTCACACTCATCATCACATCTTAGGCTCTTGTCAACTGGAATTACCCGGTTATTCGCCTTTAAGCTTAAAGCCATGATGTACCAATCAATCCGTGCTGTTTGCTCATACTTCACTGTCCAAACACTTTCATGTTCACATGTCTGGCTGGGCTGTTTCACAGGCCTTCATAGCACATACGTGCTTAACTCTCATGTCTGTAGGTAATGGGGAATACGTCTGGACCTGCCTTTCCATACCTACAGAGTCGGCCCAGATAAGGTTCTGGTCGATCAGAGCGTGGCGTACGTTGGCCCTTTCTGAGCTCTAACGTTGAGAGAACGGGGACCTATAAGATACGGGCTTCTTCGTTGTTATGATGGTTGTGTTCTGCTTGCACATATGGGAATGCAGGGCTGTGGGGGAAAATGCTAAACAATTTCTCAAACAACAATGAAAATAAACAATCAGCCTTTCCTGTAGCGGCAAAGATTGGACCTTCTGCAAGCCACAAAGAGCGCCCGCATGTAAATATATATATATATATATATATACATACTGGACGTGCAAATAGATAGGAGAAAGTTTTGTTTTAGGGCATGCTAACAAGTCATTCCTTTTTTTCACAAGTAGTTATAGAAAAACTAGCACAACACTTAGCTTTAAGTCTGCAGCTGTGTTTCCACTACAAATGTGCGCAAATCGTTGTCTATATTCTAAATATTTTTATAATTCAGCCACTGCTCAAGCTCTCATCACCTATCAGCTGTCGGCGTTTCATTCAGGCGTTGGCGCGACAAACCCCGTAGAGTAGAGTGGTTACATATGAGCCATTTTGTGGAAAATTTACAGAAGAGAAAAACAAAAACAAACCACCATTTTGTACCACTTCCTGTCGTCGTCTTTGTGGTTTTCACCAGTAGTAGCATCCGGCTGTTGATCGCCTGACTGGTGTGATGTGAG